TAAGCCAATCAGAAGGTAGCTTTCTCGTGTTTACAGCACTAATTTCAAATTGGTGACTACGCTTTGAAACATATTTTGACAAATTCTCAATGAAAAATTTGAAACCTAATAATTTGAAATGGCTAATAGATAGTCTAGATTGTATGGATTCAGTCGTTAAGCCCGTAACTATCATCGGAATACCCTGTATTAAAGTTTTTGAGGTTGCATGATTAGAAATCACATTCCGACTGTCACTTTCATTATCAGGTAAGCGACACTCTGATTGGTTGGATGATAGGTTGTTCTGATGTGACCCCTAATGGGATGTCCTCAGATCTTGGTTTAGCGATATCCAGAACTAAGATCTGAGTGATATATCTACCATGTGTATACATCAGTGACACAGCTACTATGTGTATATATCAGTGATACAGCTACTATGTGTATACATCAGTGACACAGCTACTATGTGTATATATCAGTGATACAGCTACTATGTGTATATATCGGTGATACAGCTACTATGTGTATAAATCAGTGATACAGCTACTATGTGTATATATCAGTGATACAGCTACTATGTGTATATATCAGTGATACAGCTACTATGTGTATATATCGGTGATACAGCTACTATGTGCATATATCAGTGACACAGCTACTATGTGTATATATCTATGATACACCTACTATGTGTACATATCAGTGATATAGCTACTATGTGTACAAATCAGTGATATAGCTACTGTGTGTATATATCAGTGATACAGCTACTATGTGTATATATCAGTGATATAGCTACTATGTATATAGCAGTGATATAGCTACTATGTATATAGCAGTGATATAGCTACTATGTATATAGCAGTGATATAGCTACTATGTATATAGCAGTGATATAGCTACTATGTGTATATATATATAAGTGATATAGCTACTATGTGTATATATCAGTGACAGATTTTGCGACCAGTAAAATAATGTTTAAACAGATGTCATTCTGTCACAGCTAGTCACTATACCGTCACTTGTCACTCCAGCAACGCATACAAAAAACATTATTTTTAGTATTTTTTACAATTATTAAGGGATAAAATCAAAGTAAACAAGACTTACCTGTTGAGAGTATATGCTCAAATAAATGTGTATAGGCTAATAACATTTTCAATTCAAAATAATACAAGTATTATTTTTAATTTGAAGAAGGGGCCGATTAAGTCTTTTTCCAAATATTTTCTAACTATTTGTTATTAACATGTAAATTTAATCATTCAGGTAGAATCTGTAGAGACTTTTTGTTCAAGTAAATGAATATGTTTGTATGTGGTTTACTGCATTGTCATACACGCAATTACATGGGAATTGTTATTTTTATTTTTGTAATGACAATAAACAACACACCTGTTTATTTTATCAGTAATCAACATATACAAAGTAAGATGTGTTCATTGTGCTTTTTAGACCAATTACACCTCACTCTGTCAATTCCCTAAGCAGAAAAAAAAATGACAGGGTGTTTGAAATTGAAACTTGATCAACCTGATTTTGCCAACCTAGTTTTAAAATTACCTAAATGTAATATGTGATATAACTACAATGTGTATATATCAAATATAACAAATTAATGTACTTGAGCTTTGTCTCCATGAATATATACATACCACATTACATGTTGTGGTGGTTATTAAATATGGGCAAGAGTTGATAAAATAGGCCACTATTAAAGAAAATCGCACCAAGCTTATTCACGTTGGTTTAAACAATGTAACTATGGCAACCCAAGTGATTATATCTGAGACCACCTTTTTAATAAAACAGCCAACACTGTGTTATTGTCAAAATTAATAATTGCTGGCTGTGAATAAAAACACATTCACAGGACTAGTTTGACACATACATAGAATAGGTCGTTTCCCTGCCTAGTTTACTGTATGTGAAATATCATAATTTCCCATGCAGAAATGGCTGCATGAGTAATGGACAACAATGACATTTCCAGTATGGCTACCCTGGTATCTAGTTGTTTATAATTAGACAGGCATTCTGCGAGCACATTATAAAGACATCATTTTCCCTGGTCTTTTTTTCAAATATGGCACTGTAGCTCACCTTGATGTGAAGTCAATAAGACAGAAATCTAAGTTTTAGACAAGTACATTTCACCCATGGTCTTAATCTGCAATTCGTCTTTTTCTCAAAGTAACCTATTCATTTTGCTGATCAAAACTCAACCTTGTAATGGAAATAGACATGTCTGCTAAGTTTCAGCAAATTTGGTCAAAAGATTCTAAGAAAAAAGAGAAAAACAAGTTTTGAAACAAATCTCTGTGTCTTATAGCCATTTCAGTGAATACATTGGGGTGTCATCACTTGTGGGAACAGCGGGATCCAAGGCCCAACAACGATGACACCCAAATGTATTCCTCATAATGGCAATAAGAAAGATTCAAGGCCCACAAACGTTGACACCCAAATGTGTTTATCATAAAGGCTATAATAAAGATTCAAGGCCCTTAAACGACGACACCCAAATGTGTTTATCATAATGGCTATAATAAAGATTCAAGGCCCACAAACGACGACACCCAAATGAGTTTATCATAACGGCTATAATAAAGATTCAAGGCCCACAAACGACGACACCCAAATGTGTTTATCATAACGGCTATAATAAAGATTCAAGGCCCACAAACGACGACACCCAAATGTGTTTATCATAATGGCTATAATAAAGATTCAAGGCCAACAAACGATGACACCCAAATGTATTCATCATAAACATTCAAAGCATCATGAATTGCATTCAACTCTGGCAGACACAGACAATATTCAATATGCAAACCATGTTCATCTTCATCAGCATTTAGGAGAAGAAAATATTTACAACAGACGACAAACAACAAACGACCTGCCCACAGATACATGACAAACAGGCCGAAACATTAGCCCACTATACATGTTTCGACTCAGTATTTCACTGGCGGCCAATGTGAGCATAATAACAATTTCTGCCACACTGCCTGCCAAGGTCACTTGGTTCCAAATACTGTTTTCCCACAACATCCTTGTCTACATGAAATTCTGACTTGTTTTAAAGTTGATAACAACATTAAATAATAGTTGAGTCCATATATCAGGAAAAACAAGAGTCATTAAATCTATAAACTGTAATTTGATATCATAAATTGTTCAGCATGATGTGAATTTATTAACCTAAATAACACCTGCAAGGTTTCGTTTGATTATCACAAATAGTTTTCCTGTTTTTTTACTAATAGCTGACGGAGAACAACGGACAGAAGGACAAACGGAAAGTCAGATGAATGAGTGAATGATAGCACCCATTCCAATATCCCCCTCACACTCCATTGCGGGGGATAAAAAGTCATGTTGAAACTCATGTTGAAAGCAATTAACAAAAACATCTTAAAGACAACAGCTTGAGCATTTACAGTGGTGACATCGTTTGATGTTCAACATCAAAGGATAGAAAATAACATGTTCAACAAAAAACACTCAAAAAGACTACTGTCAGTGCTATACAGTGTCAGTGATAGCTGTACATATACTCAGCCATTTAAGAAAGTATACACAGAATTGAACCATAGTCTATTTCATATAAAATACCGGACAAAGAAATCACTCACGTATACAGATACACTACATTACAAAGGGTTGCGTTAAATTTATGTATGACACCAACAGTTCATATATCGTGACCAAAAAGTCATGCACCCTAAATTAAAGACAAGAAATGTCAAAACTTCACCCATATCACATAGTTTGTCGTTGAATGAGTGAGTGAGTGAGTGAGTATGTTTATTACGCCGCTTTTAGCAATATTCCAGCAATATCACATCGGGGGACACCAGAAATGGGCTTCACACATTGTACCCATGTCGGGAATCGAACCCGGGTCTTCGGTGTGACGAGCGAACCCTTTAGCCAGTAGGCTACCCGACACTTTGTCGTTTATTGTCGCACTCAACGATGTGACAGTAGTCTGTAAATAATCAATCTCTGGACCAGACTATCCAGAGATTGATAATCAGAGTTCATGTGCATCGATTGAATTTTGACATGTTTTCGAACCCAGGAATGAGTGAGTGAGTGAGTGAGTGAGTGAGTGAGTGAGTGAGTGAGTGAGTGAGTGAGTGAGTGAGTGAGTGAGTGAGTGAGTGAGGTTATACGCCCCTTTTAGCAATATTCCAGCAATATCATGGCGGGGGACACCAGAAATGGGCTTCACACATTGTGCCCATGTCAGGAATCGAACCCGGGTATTCAGCGTGACGAGCGAACGCTTTAACCATTAGGCTACCCGACCGCCCCCTCCACCCCAGGGGCAGACAACTACAGGGAATACATACATATACACATGATTACCATGCGTATGGGGAAATGATGTGTTCTGGGTAATGGGTTCAAGGTTCAAGGTTCAAGGAATGTATACGTTTTTGGGGCTGAGTATATATACAAATATACTACTCAAAAACAGTCAAAGCATGCCCAATTATTTCATATTACTATCCTTAATCTGTCATGCCGCAACAGATTAACAGTAACATGAAAGAATCAGGTGTTCTTTTATTTATTTAGAGTAGTATACATCGAGACAATCTTTTTCTTGCTTACAGATGTTCTTATCTAACATACCAAGATGAAAGATGATACATAAATATAATCAAAAGAACATTATTATCATGGCTGACTTGAGATTAATTTTTGACAAAAACTCTAAAAAACTGTTTTACAGTAAAGTTCGATTATAACGAACTGAAAGGGACTAGTAATTTTAGTTTGTTATAACCGTAGTTTGTTATAAGCATATATACAGCATAACTACAGCAAATAGTCGGGACCAAAAAGTAAGTTTGTTATATCCGTTATAAGCGTATTCGTTATAACCGTAGTTTACTGTATAACAAACATATAAATCTTTGTGACAATAAAACATGTGACATCAAAGTATGCTTATTGGTAAAACAAGAAAAAGAGGTCGAGTGGAGGTATTATACCTAGGATCTTGGTAAAATATTTCTCCCGTCATATGATGCTGGGATATCCACTCAGTCTTGTTGATGTCAATCAGGGAGATTTCTCGGATACTGCGTGTTCTGTGGATGCGACATACCGACACTAGCCACTTCTCATTGAGATTGTCTGAAAGACAAGATGCAAATAAATAGGACTGCAGTCTCCACTGATGCCACTCCTGTGGTTCTTCGCATATAATTGATAATAACGAATGTGTACTTGCTCACCTCATTGTGTGTGGGCGACTGATTGATGATTTATTTATAAATCTTTCTAACGCAGCCAACTAGTTCCTTATGTCCTCTCTATCATCCCACACTTCCATCTGTCTGCTAACCCATCCATCAGTTCAATAATCCATCAGATAATCTAATCTTCGATCAGTCAATTCACGCATCAATCTATGCACATATCATTCTATCTGTCTTTCATCCCATCAACTCATCATTCTATCTGTCCTCAAACCCCTCCTCGCACAAGTCCATCCACACATCCGTCAATCCACACACCGGTCCATCCACACACCCGTCCATCCACACACCAGTCCATCCGCACACCCGTTCATCCGCACACCCGTCCGTCCGCACACCAGTCCATCCACACACCAGTCCATCAACACACCAGTCCATCCACACAACAGTCCATCCGCACACACATCCATCCACGCACCCATCCATCCACACACCCGTCCATCCACGCACCAGTCCATCCACGCACCCGTCCATCCACGCACCCGTCCATCAACACACCCGTCCATCAACACACCCGTCCATCCGCACACCAGTCCATCCGCACACCCGTCCATCCGCACACCCGTCCATCCGCACACCAGTCCATCCGCACACCCGTCCATCCGCACACCAGTCCATCCGCACACCCGTCCATCCGCACACCCGTCCATCCGCACACCAGTCCATCCGCACACCCGTCCATCAACACACTAGTCCATCCACACACCCGTCCATCCACACACCCGTCCATCCACACACCAGTCCATCAACACACCCGTCCATCCACACACCCATCCATCAACACACCAGTCCATCCACACACCCGTCCATCCACACACCAGTCCATCAACACACCCGTCCATCCACACACCAGTCCATCCACACACCAGTCCATCCACACACCAGTCCATCAACACACCCGTCCATCCACACACCCATCCATCCACACACCCGTCCATCCACACACCAGTCCATCAACACACCAGTCCATCAACACACCAGTCCATCCACACACCCGTCCATCCACACACCAGTCCATCCACACACCAGTCCATCCACACACCCGTCCATCCACACACCAGTCCATCCACACACCATCCACACACCAGTCCATCCACACACCTGTCCATCCACACACCCGTCCATCCACACACCAGTCCATCCACACACCAGTCCATCCACACACCAGTCCATCAACACACCAGTCCATCCACACACCAGTCCATCAACACACCAGTCCATCCACACACCCGTCCATCCACACACCATCCACACACCAGTCCATCAACACACCAGTCCATCAACACACCAGTCCATCCACACACCAGTCCATCCACACACCAGTCCATCCACACACCAGTCCATCAACACACCAGTCCATCCACACACCAGTCCATCCACACACCATCCACACACCAGTCCATCCACACACACGTCCATCCACACACCAGTCCATCAACACACCAGTCCATCCACACACCCATCCATCAACACACCCGTCCATCCACACCAGTCCATCCACACACCATCCACACACCAGTCCATCCACACACCCGTCCATCAACACACCAGTCCATCAACACACCAGTCCATCCACACACCAGTCCATCCACACACCAGTCCATCCACACACCATCCACACACCAGTCCATCAACACACCAGTCCATCCACACACCCGTCCATCCACACACCAGTCCATCCACACACCCGTCCATCAACACACCGGTCCATCCACACACCAGTCCATCAACACACCAGTCCATCCACACACCAGTCCATCCACACACCATCCACACACCAGTCCATCCACACACCCGTCCATCCACACACCAGTCCATCAACACACCAGTCCATCCACACACCCATCCATCAACACACCCGTCCATCCACACCAGTCCATCCACACACCATCCACACACCAGTCCATCCACACACCCGTCCATCAACACACCAGTCCATCAACACACCAGTCCATCCACACACCAGTCCATCAACACACCAGTCTATCCACACACCATCCACACACCAGTCCATCCACACACCCGTCCATCCACACACCCATCCATCAACACACCCGTCCATCCACACAACCATCCATCCACACACCCATCCATCCACACACCCGTCCATCAACACACCAGTCCATCCACACACCCATCCATCCACACACCCGTCTACCACACACCCCTCCATCAACACACCCGTCCATCCACACAACAGTCCATCCACACATCAGTCCATCCACACACCCGTCCATCAACACACCAGTCCATCCACACACCCATCCATCCACACACCTGTCCATCCACACACCCGTCCATCCACACACCCGTCCATCAACACACCAGTCCATCCACACACCCATCCATCCACACACCCGTCCATCCACACACCCCTCCATCCACACACCAGTCCATCAACACACCCGTCCATCCACACACCCCTCCATCCGCACACCAGTCCATCCACACACCCATCCATCCACACACCCGTCCATCAACACACCAGTCCATCAACACACCAGTCCATCCACACACCCGTCAATCAACACACCAGTCCATCCACACACCAGTCCATCCACACACCCATCAATCAACACACCAGTCCATCAACACACCATCCACACACCAGTCCATCCACACACCCGTCAATCAACACATCAGTCCATCCACACACCAGTCAATCCACATACCCGTCAATCAACACACCAGTCAATCAACACACCAGTCCATCCACACACCCGTCCATCCACACACCTGTCCATCCACACAACCATCCATCCGCACACCCGTCAATCAACACACCAGTCCATCCACACACCAGTCCATCCACACACCAGTCCATCCACACACCAGTCCATCAACACACTAGTCCATCAACACACCAGTCCATCAACACACTAGTCCATCAACACACCAGTCCATCAACACACCAGTCCATCAACACACTAGTCCATCAACACACCAGTCCATCAACACACTAGTCCATCAACACACCAGTCCATCCGCACACCCATCCATCCACACACCAGTCCATCAACACACTAGTCCATCCACACACCAGTCCATCCACACACCAGTCAATCAACACAGCAGTCCATCCACACACCCGTCCATCCACACACCCGTCCATCCACACAACCATCCATCTGCACACCCGTCAATCAACACACCAGTCCATCCACACACCCATCCATCCACACACCTGTCCATCAACACACCATCCACACACCAGTCCATCCACACACCCGTCCATCCACACACCAGTCCATCAACACACCAGTCCATCAGCACACCAGTCCATCAACACACCCGTCCATCCACACACCCATCCATCAACACACCCATCCATCCACACACCCGTCCATCCACACACCCATCCATCCACACACCCGTCCATCCACACACCCGTCCATCAACACACCAGTCCATCCACACACCCATCCATCCACACACCCGTCTACCACACACCCCTCCATCCACACACCCCTCCATCAACACACCCGTCCATCCACACAACAGTCCATCCACACACCCATCCATCCACACACCCGTCTACCACACACCCCTCCATCCACACACCCCTCCATCAACACACCCGTCCATCCACACACCAGTCCATCCACACACCCGTCAATCAACACACCAGTCCATCCACACACCATCCACACACCAGTCCATCAACACACCCGTCCATCCACACACCCATCCATCAACACACCCGTCCATCCACACACCCATCCATCCACACACCCATCCATCCACACACCCGTCCATCAACACACCAGTCCATCCACACACCCATCCATCCACACACCCGTCTACCACACACCCCTCCATCCACACACCCCTCCATCAACACACCCGTCCATCCACACAACAGTCCATCCACACATCAGTCCATCCACACACCCGTCCATCAGCACACCAGTCCATCCACACACCCATCCATCCACACACCTGTCCATCCACACACTCGTCCATCCACACACCCCTCCATCCACACACCCCTCCATCAACACACCAGTCCATCAACACACCAGTCCATCCACACACCCGTCAATCAACACACCAGTCCATCCACACACCAGTCCATCCACACACCCATCAATCAACACACCAGTCCATCAACACACCATCCACACACCAGTCCATCCACACCCCCGTCAATCAACACATCAGTCCATCCACACACCAGTCAATCCACACACCCGTCAATCAACACACCAGTCAATCAACACACCAGTCCATCCACACACCAGTCCATCCACACACCTGTCCATCCACACAACCATCCATCCGCACACCCGTCAATCAACACACCAGTCCATCCACACACCCATCCATCCACACACCTGTCCATCCACACACCAGTCCATCAACACACTAGTCCATCAACACACCAGTCCATCAACACACCAGTCCATCAACACACCAGTCCATCAACACACTAGTCCATCAACACACCAGTCCATCAACACACTAGTCCATCAACACACCAGTCCATCCGCACACCCATCCATCCACACACCAGTCCATCAACACACCCGTCCATCCACACACCAGTCCATCCACACACCAGTCAATCAACACAGCAGTCCATCCACACACCCGTCCATCCACACACCCGTCCATCCACACAACCATCCATCCGCACACCCGTCAATCAACACACCAGTCCATCCACACACCCATCGATCCACACACCTGTCCATCAACACACCATCCACACACCAGTCCATCCACACACCCGTCCATCCACACACCAGTCCATCAACACACTAGTCCATCAGCACACCAGTCCATCAACACACCCGTCCATCCACACACCCATCCATCAATACACCCGTGCATCAACACACCAGTCCATCAACACACTAGTCCATCAACACACTAGTCCATCAACACACTAGTCCATCAACACACTAGTCCATCAACACACCCATCCATCAACACACTAGTCCATCAACACACCAGTCCATCAACACACCAGTCCATCAACACACCAGTCCATCAACACACCATCCACACACCAGTCCATCAACACACTAGTCCATCAACACACCAGTCCATCAACACACCAGTCCATCAACACACCAGTCCATCAACACACCATCCACACACCAGTCCATCAACACACCCGTCCATCAACACACCAGTCCATCAACACACTAGTCCATCAACACACCAGTCCATCAACACACTAGTCCATCAACACACCAGTCCATCAACACACCAGTCCATCAACACACCATCCACACACCAGTCCATCAACACACTAGTCCATCAACACACCAGTCCATCAACACACCCGTCCATCCACACACCCATCCATCAACACACCCGTCCATCCACACACCAGTCCATCAACACACTAATCCATCAACACACCAGTCCATCAACACACTAGTCCATCAACACACTAGTCCATCCACACACCAGTCAATCAACACACTAGTCCATCAACACACCAGTCCATCAACACACCAGTCCATCCACACACCCATCCATCAACACACCAGTCCATCCACACACCAGTCCATCAACACACTAGTCCATCAACACACCATCCACACACCAGTCCATCAACACACCAGTCCATCAACACACCAGTCAATCCATCCTTAACCCAATCCATAAATAACTTTATCCAACTATCAAACAGCTCATCCACACAACAGTCCATCCACCCTCAAGCCATTTGTACAGAATCCTCCTATCAATCCAACAATCAGTCCATCTAGTCAACCCACCTGATAACCTTGACTTTGAAAGTAAGGAGAACTGTTGCAAGTTCCCGATCAACTGGACGTAAGAATATTCTGATTTGGCAGCATTAGCTGTATGCAGATTCAGCATGCGGAGATACGCTGAACGATGGCCTGATTGACCATATCTATCTGGAAAACAACAATATGACAATTCAGTTCATGACATGCTTGTTACTGAAATCGGAATAGTATGGAGATTTGTGCTGACACTCATGTTTTCACATCTTTGGCCTTATCTATGGAAACTAGAAGGGGGTTTGGGGGTTTAACTGCCACTAAGAAGGCAGCTTTCTTGAGCTTTGCAGAACTAGTTTCAAACAGACAACGTCCATTCCAGACTATGCTTTTAAAATTATTTTTAGTCATACAGCCCGTAACAGTAGGTTTGTGTTCAGCTTTAGAGGTTGCATGATTAGAAATCATATTTTGTTATCAATGTAAAGTGTTAAAAAGGACACACCAGATATAATATGTGAGTGAGTGAGTGAGTGAGTTGGGTTTAACAACTATTTAACAGTATTCCAGTTATATCACAGTGTGTCAGCTTAATGTGGGAGGAAAGCCCAAAGTGACGCAGGTCTCAGACATTTACCACTTCGGTGAAACCCACAAGCATGGGTATGGTGCTGACAAACCTAGAAACATAATTGGGGCCAACCGGGATTCGAACCCACAATCATAGGTTTCTGGCATGCCAAAGGGATGCAACTCTGCACAGCAAATCGCGGTGCTATAGACGACTGGGCCACCCGTGCCCCCTATAATATGTTAAGAAGGGCATGCTAGGTACAACACAAGGATTGGCACACTCAGTATAACATTCACTACAATTGTTTTCGGGTCGCTGAAATCGCTGTACTGTGGTACTGGTACCTGTTCTTTTAAGAATAATAATCTCAGAACATTTCCCCATGCTTGGATCAAAATCATGACGATAATAAGAATTGAAATTCTGACATTTGCCTTGAAATAACAATGCTTGGATGTCCTTAGCACTGTGCATCAAAGAAAACGCAATGGTAATTCTAAGCGTGATCAAAGTCGGAGAAAAAAATGCTTCTTGCTTCTAATGAAAGTACTCCAGCATTATCCATTGAATCTATATCTTCACTTGATACTCGGTTAATAACAAAACAGAGAAGATGCAGCTGATACGTATCATATTCAACAAACCAAGATCTATCAGTTTCTGATAATTATCTTTGTGAAGTTCTGGCAACAGTACCGGTAATTCAGTCATGGACTACTGATCCCTGCCTTATTAGGAATTCATTTCAAAGGAATAATATGGAACCCATTCTTGGTCTTGGAACTGAGTGAAATAAAACAAATCAGCAAAATGTCTGCGCTCCCCTTTCATCAACCAGAACCCTCTCACTCTCAGCCTCTGCCATCCTCTATACCAACACCCCCTCCTCTATCAGACCACTCTCTATACCAACACCCCTTCTCTATCAGACTACTCTCTATACAACACCCCCTTCCTCTATCAGACCACTCTCTTTATCAACAATCCCTCCCTCTATCAGGGCATTCTCTATACCAACACCCCCTCCTCTATCAGGCCACTCTCTATACCAACACCCCCTCCTCTATCAGACCACTCTCTATACAACACCCCCTTCCTCTATCAGACCACTCTCTTTATCAACACCCCCTCCTCTATCAGACCACTCTCTATACCAACACCCCTCCTCTATTAGACCACTCTCTATACAACACCCCCTTCCTCTATCAGACCACTCTCTATACCAATACCCCCTCCTCTATCAGACCACTCTCTATACAAGGTGAGGTGAGGTGACATGGGGTTTAACGTCGCGTCCAAGATAATTGCACTTATATAGCGACCTCTCTATACAACACCCCCTTCCTTTATCAGACCACTATCTAATCCAACACCCCTCCTCTATCAGACCACTTTCTATACCAACACCCCTTCCTCTATCAGACCATTCTCTATACAACACCCCCTTCCTTTATCAGACCACTCTCTATTCCAACACCTCCTCCTCTATCAGACCACTCTCTATACTAACACCCCCTCCTTTATCAGACCACTCTCTAATCCAACACCCCTCCTCTATCAGACCACTCTCTATACCAACACCCCCTCCTCTATCAGACCACTCTCTATACCAACACCCCTTCCTCTCCCTACCTTCCTATAACAAGAGTCATCATCCCATTTCAAGAAGAAATATTTAATGGTTACGGAGTTCTGGTCCAGAAACAGAAAACTGACGGCTGACGGACGCACAGGACCAGGATATGGTGATCGCTACATGAAAACTGAGGGGTCAAAAATGTAATCTGATTAAAAATATGACTTACTTGAAAATGGCAGGAACTGTGCACTGAACACTTTGTGGTCTTGTGGGTGAAGGATTTGATACACCGACTTCCCAATGAGCTGGAACTGTGGGCAGAATGAAGAAGAATATTTTCAATAAGTGGCATGTCAGATGACTGCAGGAGAGTGAGTGAGTGAGTGAGTTGGGTTTAACACGGCTTTTAACAGTATTCCAGTTATATCACAGCGTGTCAGCTTAATGTCGGAGGAAAGCCCGAAGTGATGCAGGTCTCAGACGTTTACCACTTTGGTGAAACCCATGGTGAAACATAATCGGGGCGAACCGGGATTCGAACCCACAATCATAGGTTTCTGGCGTGCCCAAGGGACGCACCTCTGCACAGCAAATCGCGGCGCCTTAGACGACTTGGCCACCCGTGCCCCCTTGACTGCAGGAGAACAGGGCAGGGCACAGTTAATGGATGTTGACCACTTTGGTGGAACCCACTACCATGGGTATGGTGCTGATAAGTCAACAACAAATCAGTGACTCAAATCTGATGACCAGTGAATCTCATAGAGCTCTCTATTTCATTAAAATCAGATCCTTTACTCTGACGAGATACCTCCCTGCATAAATATCTGACGACACCTCCATAACAGTGTGTGTCAGGTGAGTTTTCTAATCAGACAATCAGGCATTCTAAATTACTCTAGATGCATGAGCAAATCTTTCCAACCAGCATAACCCATTTCTGTATCTCAAAGACTAAGCTAATCAGCCTGTTCTGAATGAAAATGATAAAGGCTGTGCCATTATCAAGTTGTTGATAATTTATATACCCTGTTATTTCTGAGCACATTAGGATTGACTTTGGCTGCGATTCCTCAATATTCTAAAATAGCTGTCAAAGATATTCCATCAACATTCATTCAGCATGATTGAAAATCAACAATATTTTCTTCAATAGGGTACACACTACAGACTGAAATAGACAGCGAAACTGATGATAACGGCAGATTGTTGTCTCCTGCACTCCAAAGAAATGAACAGCTGATTGTGGTAAACATGTCTGCTAAATAATCTATAATTCTACTTGTGGATTATTCCTCCTAAAGTCAACAATGAACAGAAATACATCAATATTAATGTACTTAGTATTTTATTTCAGTTGACAATGCTCTTTTTCCAATAACATCCGCTTATTTATAAATATTTGCAGAGGACTAATTAAGTGTTCGCACATGGGATCCGTGAGAATATATCTACATAATCTAGTAACATTAATTGCATCATAAGTCGAGTCCCAAATAATGAAAATAAAATAAAATTTCCAGTTTGAAGAAGAAATATCTCTCTTAATCAGTAAAATTTCATTGCTTTTGGACCAGGGGAGATTTTTCTGTCATAGGTAAATTTTTGCAGGATAATCTCTGTGAGTGCCATGTGTCTTTCTGGAGTACCATGGAAGAAATATTTGTATTCTGAGTTTGTTGTTTTAAGTAAAGGTTTGATCAGTCCCCTTTCACCAGAATCTGGGAAAGTAAGTGGTCGAACCAAGACCTCTTTTGTTTCCTTTTTCACTAGCTGTTTGTTTTCTTTGTTTGGGATAACGTTTTTTAAGGGTTAGTGTTAGTTAAGGGTGGGAGATAAATAGACTAGGAATTGAATAGGTTTGTTTGGGGACATTTTATTTTAGGGAGTTAAGTCAGATGGGTGGTTATCAGATCTTGTGGGTTTGAATTGAATTACATAGGTAGGGAAAGGAGGGGAAGGTAGCAAAGATATTGTGGATGAGGGTTTGACGGATGTTGTTTTTGTTAAAATAAACTTTACATTAAACTTCATTCCTGTTTGTTTTTTTCTTATAATTAGAAGCCTTACAGAACATATAAGAAAAATATACTTCATAGAGAGGAGAGAAGACAACGCAAACCACTGCAGTAAACATTGACCTTTGCCCTAAATCTATATTGTACTTCTGTCACTGGGCGCCAAATAGACGCCTACTACATTAGTAAAGAAATTAAGCCAAATTGTTTCAGAATGCTGATTGAATAAGCTGAAGAACCCAAGCACCCATTATTTAGATTTTGTAAGTTAAACTTCGCTCATGGCTCCCCTTACTCGACCTTCTATGGAGATCTCAGTCTCACATACAGAGGTATCGTATTGGAGAAAAAGAGCCAAGTACACCAACGGCTGTGAGATGCTTTTATCTTACAACAATTTGCAGCTGAATCATGTATGACAGACACAAGTGCAGTTATCTGTTTCACACACCCTAATATCTCACTGTTTTAGCATCAAATTGATGCATGTTATCTATTCTCATGATCGCAGTTGCCGATAATATGTAACATAAAGATGATGAGTGACGTCATCAGGCTTACTAATTCATACTAAGCGCGACCCTCCACACAAAAAATCCCCATATCTGTAGCGATGATGACGCAACTAGATAAGAGCAAAGAACATCTATTAACACTCTCAAAAACTAACGTCCAATAACAGACGTAGGTGAATAGGAATGAAACACGATTAACTTCATTGAATAACAATCAGGAACGTAATCCGTCATAATCTGACCTTAGGTCATCACCATGGAGTAGCCAATCACAGACCTGGCATTCGATCATACATATATACCGTATTAGACGTAATAAGCGCCCAGGGTGCTCTCAAAATTAGAAATAGGGGGCTCTTATTTGAATATTATTTTGGTGAAAAAAGGAGTTAAAGGATAAATTTCGTATTTCGTGGTTTATGCTGACAGCCTGAAATGTTTATATACGACAGATATATTTTTCCAGAATTTATTTGCCCATAACTAAGAGTGCATATAACACACGAGTGCATATTATACGCGAATAAGTCTTGTGTACATTGATCAATCGGAAAGGGTGCTAATTGGGATTGTTCACTAGCCAATATATTAGCAAATATCGCCGTGGGAGCTTATTAGAGCGAGGTGCTTATTACGACGAATACGGTATTTGATACCTGGAGTTATCTCATATGGGTTTTTCATCCACACGTGTATAAAAATTGTGATCTTCCCTGATAAAGCCATACTTCATGGCATTATGGTCAAATCCCTGTATTATAGGATTTCCTTCTACTTAACAACGATAATGTCGCATTATTATTTTCATAAGTGTGGATCATCAGCCACATCTGAGGAGCAATTTTATCTACGACTTGTTCAAGAGACGAGGGGGGACAGGACTGGCCAGACCTCTAAGGTGCTGCTGTTCAATGTGCTCAGCCCCTGTGAAGACCCAAGAGAGAATTGTTCTTCCGCAACCCATGCTTGTCATAAAAGACATATCTGTGAAGATCCGGGTTAGAATTGTTCTTCAGCAACCCATGCTTGCCGTAAAAGGGAACTATGCTTGTCGTGAGAGGCGACTAACGGGATCGGGTGGTCAGGCTGGCTGACTTGGTTGATGCATGTCATTGTATCCCAATTGCGAGGTTCGATACTCATGATGTCAATCACTGGATTGTCTGGTCCAGACTCTATTATTTATAGCTAGAATATCCCTGAGTGCAGCATTAAACAAAGAACAAACCGAATCCTTATCATTGAAATTATAATTGTGAGCAGCCATATCAAATCAAGAACTAAACCTACATAAACAGGCATGATTTTTCAAAAATAAAAATCAGCTACCATCATGAAGTCTTTGAAAGGCATTTAGAAGTGATACACATAAGGAAGAGAATTTATGGATGTCAACTTTTTTATTATGAGGAACACAACGATCCGGAGTATATGCTTACCCCCTCATCAGGTGAATGTAACTATCATTCTAATGTCACCTAATATCTTCATCTAAGGCGCCGCGATTTGCTGTGCAGAGTTGCGTCCCTTGGGCACGCCAGAAACCTATCTTTTGATACCCAGATACAACCAATTGTATTGTATGGTTCTGAAGTGTGGGGATTTCAATGACTGTTTAGAGTAGGTTTTCTGATTAGCATGTAAAAAGTTTCTTTGTGTCGGATCTGCTACACCAAATTGTATGGTTTATACCGCCGTCGTATAGCTGGAATATTGCCGAGTGCGGCGTTAAACAACAAACAAAAACAAACTGTATGGTTTATGGTGAATGTGGTATATACCCACTATATATTAACTCTCAGTTGAGATGTTTAAATTCTTTTATATGCATGAACTACGTCTAATATATTAGCTTATAACATGCTTCTACGTTCAGATTACATGGAAGAGAATACATGGACATCGCATATAAGAAATCTTTTATTTTATCATGATTTTGGTTTTATATGTCAGCCAGTTGGAAATGTAACTATATTTCTTAATGAATTTCGAAATCGGTCTATAAATATGTTCTCCCAAGAATGGCATTCCACTTTAAAGGATAGTTCACGTTTTGAATATTACAAAACTTTCAAGACTTTACTTAAACCAGAAATATATTTATCAGTAGTCACTACGAAAAACTTAAGAAAACATTTCATTAAATATCAACTTGGTTTACTAGAATTATTTGTAAATGAAGGAAGAAAACTGTCCATTGAAAACTGAAAAGAATTTGTCCATTATGTAATCTAGAGAAAGAAAAGGAAATTCATTTTAGTTAGTTTGTCCATTTTACAATGATCTTCAAAAGAAATATATAAAAGATAATTTAATAGTAATGTCACGATAAACGCCTTTGTGGTTATTCTGACGACAAAGAACGAATCTAATATATGAAATCTTTCTCTTTATATTAAGCATGCATTAGCCAAAAGAAATGAATTAATCAAACAACGTGTATATCCCAATGTGTAACATTTATGATTGCATCTACATGCGTAACTTTCTCTTGTATATGGAGTGGCGGTCGGGCAGCCTAGTGGTTTAAGCGTTAGCTCGTCACGCCGAAGACCCGTGTTCGATTCCCGACAAGGGTACAATGTGTGAAGCCCATTTCTGGTGTCCCCTACCGTGATATTGCTGGAATATTGCGAAAACCACACTCACACACACACACTGGTATATGGGTCAGAGGCCTTTTGTACAATAAACCTTTTTTGACTTGGACATAATAAAGAAGTTGACATCCATAAATTCTCTTCCTTACCATCAAAAAGTTAATATATCATGGTATGATGATATTTAACATTATGCACTTTTCCAAGTATTCACCAGATGAAGGAGCAAGAAGTAGCTCTGAAATGTCATTCAAAGAATAAAAGAAGTGTATAACTTAAAAGTGTCATGTATCCATGTTCTAAATGCCTATCAAAGACTTGAGGCAACTGCCATCAATAACAAGGAAATTATTACTCCAACAAATGTAAGGTAAACTGCTCAAACTTTATCAGAACAGAGTGTTGAATATTTCTTGAGAGGGGAGTTAGTCTTGGCAGTCCCTGCCAATTAGGTTTAAGTCTCTAAAGTGTCATAGCTTGTGACTGCTAGTTCAAATATAATTATTTATCTATCAATTAAGGTGAGGTGAAATGGGGTTTGACGTCACGTCCAAAATTATTGCACTTATATAGCGACGTGCATACACATGTGTGTGTGTGTGGCTGCTTGTACTAGTCCGGACTGACGCCGATTTATAGTGCTAGCCCACTGAGATACCATGCCGCAGTTTAACATGAATACCATATTCAGACACAGTTTACTGACTCTGAGCCGACCAGTCCTTGTTTTAGCCCCTTAATGCCGACCGCCAGACAGGGTAACAACAAGTACCATCTTTAAACGTCTTTTGGCATGACACGGCCTGGGATCGAACCCCAGACCTTCCGCTCTCCGGGCGGACACTCTATCACTAGACCATGGAGGTGGTCCTATCAATTAAGTAGTTTAATTACAAAATGTTCCATACTAGGTATTAATAACAGCACACATCCACACATCTTCAGCATCCATGTTTGTCCTAACAGGTGGTCAAACGGGTGGTCAAAGCGTGGTCAAACGGGTGGTCAAACATGTGGTCAAACGGGTGGTCAAACAGTGGTCAAACGGGTGGTCAAACGGTGGTCAAACAGGTGATCATACGGGTGGTCAAACAGGTGGTCAAACGGGTGATAAGGCTCGTTGACTTAGTTGATACATGTCATAGTATTGGTATTCATTATGTCAATCACTGGCATGTCTGGTACAGATTTGATTATTTTACAGACCGCTGTAATATAACTGAAACATTGCTGAGTGCCGCGTTAAACACAAACAACAACAAAACAAAACACAAACAAACAAACTCAAGACAGGAAAGGTTACATGTATGCAATACGGTGGAAATGATGATATTATTAACTGATTGTACAAACAACTCGATACCAGATGACAACAATCATGGGGAATAATTACCCTTACAGTCCTCAAGCCTGCAGTTACTGAACATGTGGTACTGTCTGTTCCCTGTGTTGTGGGCGTCAGACCTGAGCACAACACAGCACTCAGACAACCAACAGTCCCCTTGGGCAAGCATGTGCCACTGCTGGTCTACAGATGTTTTTACACAGTTGCAATTAGGAGCTATTAATAGCAATGTCTTTGAGCTGCAGGTAGGGCATTATGGCCTAAGGAATATGTTGTATATCCAGGGGATGACCATTGTGAGAACAAAGTGTGACAAACAATCTTGCCTTGTCATGTAGCATGAGGTGGTTTCAAAAAAAGATCAAAGCATAATATCAGACGCCATCAGCTATCTGCGTACATGTCAATTATTTCAAAATGGTTGTTTTTCAACAGGATTATTTGTTGTTTGTTTGTTGTTTAATGCCGCAGTCAGCAATATTCCAGCTAAATGATGGCGGTCTGTAAATAATCGAGTCTGGACCAGACAATCCAGTGATTGACATCATGAGCATCGATCAACCCCATTGGGATACAATGACATGCATCAACCAAGTCAGTGAGGCTTAGTCGGACCACCAGATCCGTTAGTCGCCTCTTACGACGAGCATTAGTGGCCTCTTACAGCAAGCACGGGTTGCTGAAGACCTATTCTACCCGAGATCTTCCGGTTCTTTGGAGGAAGTAATGTATGTTTTCATTTATTCACTGCATCATGGTTTCCAGACTTTAAAGAAACAAGTTAAGATTTTCATCTTAAAGGGATACAGCACTCCAACTTTGAAAGTATCGAAATATGGATCAGCTTTTTCTTGTCAACATTTGCTTATTATTGACTAATATTTAGACTGGTTTGACTTGTGTTTGGCGCTATTCTCGCTGCGCGAAGTTGTTGTTGTTTGTTGTTTTGCTGTTTAACGCTGCACTCAACAATATTCCAGCTATATGATGGCAGTCTGTAAATAATCAAGTCTGGACCAGACAATCCAGTGATTAATATCATGAGCATCGATCCACGCAATTACATTGACATGCATCAACCAAGTCAGCAAGCCTGACCACCTGATCCTGTTAGTCACCTTTTACGACAAGCATAGTCGCCTTTTATGGCAAGCATGGGTTGCTGAAGACCTATTCTACCCCAGAAGTTACACCTATCGGAGGATCAAAGAATGAGAAGTCGTATATCATAAGAAGGGATATATACTACTCAAAAGAAGTTAAGGATCACCCGATTCTTTCATAATGGTAAAGTTAATCAGTCATGACATGAGAGATTAACTATAGAAATATGAAAGAATCAGGTGATCCTTAACTTCTTTTGATTAGTATACAATAAAGAGCTGCAGCCAAACTGACATGTGTTTTTGTTGGTGATTAATGCACTTGAAGGGGTGAAGCTATCGGTCAACATTATGCACAATAAAAAAACTACATTGTATCCCTTCAGAGAATTCAGGTCAACGAACAGGTGATAACAAACTTGGCCAATAAAAATGTGAAATTTGCGATAAATTCTCACTAGACATGATACACCATTTAAGTTGTATTTCTGTTCTGCTTTAACGCCGCTTTTAACAGTATTCTAGTTATATCACAGCGTGTCAGCTTAATGTGGGAGGAAAGCCCGAAGTGATGCAGGTCTCAGACGTTTACCACTTCGGTGAAACCCACGAGCATGGGTATGGTGCTGACAAACCTAGAAACATAATCGGGGCGAACCGGAATTCGAACCCCCAATCATAGGTTTCTGGCGTGCCCAAGGGACGCAACTCTGCACAGCGAATCGCAGCTCCTTAGACAACTGGGCCACCCGTGCCCCCTATTTCTGTTCTGCTTGGCATTGTTTTATATGCAGAAATAAAGACTACAGTGTGTACTTGCTCGTAAACTAAGCCAGAAATAGCAATCAACTGTATGCACATCTTGTACAATTACATCGGTGAATTGGTTAGAAAATCCCAGTAATATAACTTCAAAGAACCTCCATGCAATGGTTGGATAAATCCTATCTGAAACTATTATTTATCAGAAATAATATTTTCCGATATTGAGTTGTTTCAGTTGCAGCTAGATAATAACCATTTTTCACTTGACAAAGCATCTGAGGATTGGGATTGGGATGTGTAATTGCATTTTTTTCAATACGTCAAAATTGGAAATGTCCTCCCTAAAATATTTTGAAAGTTTTACTGAGGCCTTGAATGGTTTACAGGAGAGAAAGCCCCAGCTGGAGCGGGTCTGAGATTTCAACCACCTTAGTGAAACCTACAAGCACAAGTGAGCAGCTGACAAACCACGCATTATTCACGATAACAAGCTGACAAACCACTCATTATTCACAATGACTAGCTGACAAACCACTCATTATTCACAATGACTAGCTGACAAACCACTCATTATTCACAATGACTAGCTGACAAACCATGCATTATTCACAATGACTAGCTGACAAACCACACATTATTCACAATGACTAGCTGACAAACCACACATTATTCACAATGACTAGCTGACAAACCACACATTATTCACAATGACTAGCTCACAAACCACTCATTATTCACAATGACTAGCTGACAAACCACGCATTATTCACAATGACTAGCTGACAAACCACGCATTATTCACAATGACTAACTGACAAACCACACATTATTCACAATGACTAGCTGACAAACCACACATTATTCACAATGACTAGCTGATAAACCATGTATTCTCCACAGTGACAAGCTGACAAAATATGCATATTTTACCATGACTTGCTGACAAACTATGCATTATTCACAATGACTAGTTGACGAACTATGCATTATTCACAATGACAAGCTGACAAACTATGTATTATTCACAATGACAAGTTGACAAATTATGCATTATTCACAATGACTAGCTGTCAAATTATGCATTTTTCAGTAACTAGCTGACAAATTATGCATTATTCACAATGACTAGCTGACGAACTATGCATTATTCACAATGACTAGCTGAAAAACTGCATTATCTCAATTACTAGCTGACAAACCACGCATTATTAACATGATTAATACACAGCGACTAGCTGACAAACCACGCATTATTCAGTGACAAGCTGACAAACCACACATTATTCACAATGACTAGCTGACAAACCACACATTATTAACATGATTAATACACAGCGACTAGCTGACAAACCACGCATTATTCAGTGACAAGCTGACAAACCACACATTATTCACAATGACTAGCTGACAAACCACTCATTATTCACAATGACTAGCTGACAAACCACGCATTATTCAGTGACAAGCTGACAAACCACACATTATTCACAATGACTAGCTGACAAACCACGCATTATTCACAATGACTGGCTGACAAACCACCCATTATTCACAATGACAATCAGAAATATCAAAACTCTCTTCAAGTAAAAATAAAACCAACCTGGTTGTGACCAAGGACAGTTGTGATCTCCGTTGATATGAAAACAATCGTGCCATTTTGTGAGACAACAAGAAAAAATCCATCCACAATCTGAAAGGCAAATGAAAACACAAATCAATACCTACATGGTTGCCATGGATATCTTGTGGCATGCAATAACCTTCTCAAAGATAAACTGGAACCATTAAACTTCACAAGGTCTTAAGTGTTCTTAAGTGTCAAATAAGTATGGTATGTAATATGAATGATTAGAAATATTGCTGATATGACAGCTCTCTCTCTCTCTCTCTCTCTCTCTCTCTCTCTCTCTCTCTCTCTCTCAACAAATTATTTTCACAAGGAGAATTTGGCTCCACCCCGTTCACCCAATATATATATATATATGACTCTCGTGCTGATTTAGAAATGCCTGATCTAAAATAGCATGATCTTCCACAATACCATAGTATATTTTTGGTACAACTATTCAAAAAGGTTAAGTTTTATGTGGCACTCACATTTTTAGAAAATAATCCTTTGCCTAAAAATACATCGGAAGTCCTGTACTTTTATGTAATATGTACTCCTAGCTTATGGTATAAATACAGAATGAGCACAGGTGAGGAGATTGTAACCATGGTGATGTAAGCAGCCCTCTTGTCTAAATCAAGACTGCAACACTTGATGTCAAACAATCAGAGGTGAGTGAGTCTGGTTTAACGCCGCTTGAATAGTAGTATATCAGTTATATCACAGCTTGTCAGCATGTGGAAGGAAAGCCCCAAGTGGTGTAGGTGTTTGACATTAAAAAATACCACTTGACTTAACCAATGAGTGAATGGCGGTGACAAATATCAAGGATTTATCAAGGATACCTAACTATATTAGTGAGTGAGTATGGTTTTACGCTGCTTTTAGCAATATTCCAGCAATATCATGGCGGGGACACCAGAAATGGGCTTCACACATTGTACCCATGTCGGGAATCGAACCCAGGTATTCAGCGTGACGAGCAAACGCTTTAACCACTAGGCTACTCTATTAGTGCCCTTGACAGGCAAATTAGTGAAAATTATTATTTCATTGAAAATTGGGATCTTAAATAAAAATCGTACCTAATAATTGAAATAGTAAGAATCAAAGCCTCTTCCTTATTGTCCCTGTAATCAGTGAAAAGTCACCTCTATGCGCCTCAACATTAGTTGAGCAACATTTCGGAATGTTCACTAACATTTGCTACAGACTCTTGGCCGAATATCACCCTCTGAGCATGTCTAGATAAGTCATAAATGAACATAAAAACATCACATGACTTTTTTAACCACAATCACAGCATTCCATACCTAAGAGATTAAACTATTCACAGTAAATTGCAGATAAGACATATGGGCCTCCACCTATGGCAATTACTGTTTATATACCAGAAAGAGCAATGTGTCCACAGGTCTTACACACAAAGAAAATCACTGCTGGAATAGAAGTGTGGACCCCCCAAAAATGCTTTGCTTCTTTTGTAGAACCCCCAAATATTAAAAAGTTTGTCACTGAGCATTTTAATTTTCATTGAATAATTTACTTATTTTTAATCCGGGCACAGTTGCTAGTTTTGTAACGAATGAACGTGATAAATATAATCAGCATACCTCATGGAGTAGTCTCCCTCGGTTTTCCCGACTGAAGAAAGATGGACACCAGTCATTCAGGTGTGACTTCATCTTCTTCAAACCTAAATTAGAAACAGGGCAGGTGATCAGATGAGCCAAGTTATCAATGAATGCACAATATCCTATCAGTTTGGAGGTACTGTAAAGCGATACAAAACCAAGAGGTTCCGCAGCTCACCTTCTCCAGGATTTATGTTTAGGTACTTCCACATCAAATACTAAGGTGTATGATATTATGGACAAACCATTTGATTTTAATGCTCTCAATGCTACTGTCGAACCAGTTCGACAGAGTTTGTCACTACCCGTGTTGCTACTGTCGAACCAGTTCGACAGGCGAATAGCATAACGACACCCACAAACAAACCTCGCCATATCTATTTACCAAGAAGGCTTTGCGTTACATTTAAATTACGTATGGCATGCATAAATGCTCAGCTTGCTCAATATCAAAACTTTCAGTAGTGTATTTACCTCAAAAAGAAAATATCGCGAGTTTAAAATGTTTCAGCCAAACTTCGCGGCACACAACTACCAGAAACGGCCATTGTTGACTTTTGGCACTTCACGTTGAGCGGCATGCAGTCCGATATTTTCTTTATAATGTTATTATTTTTCACATTCGATCATAATTTATTGTTTGCTGACGAAGGGAAATCACTCAAGTTTCTTAATTTCTAAAAATTAGCAATTTTCGAAGTAATTAATTATAAACAAAAACAATCTGAATCGTAACATCATCGATTGGATGAAACTTGTACGATCATGGCAACGGCGGTAAACAAACAACTCCACATGCATAGTGATCCCGTAAGACTATTACAATAATTTTGTTACATCTAACTTAATTTTCTAGAATTATTGACACGCATGTATAAATCTGTGTAAAAAAATATCATTTTTATAGAGTTTTCAAATGATTTCGTTTGATAAACTTTCGGACACATTGACAAGCCGACAAACGTCAGTGATACGTTTGGGCGTGGCCTAACTCGCTTTTTGTTTAGTTGAACAAAGTCAACAAACACTGAAAATAATGACAAATATTGGATGATACGCAAAACCTGAACTGATATACATTCTAGGTAAATCATACAATAGCAATACAATGCAGTTTACGGAAAATAATCGAAAATACTTGCAATTTTAGCTATTATTTCTGAAACCGGAAGCACCGTACCGCATGACACATCGAAGCAAAATATGCAAAAGTTGGTAAGCGATCATAAAACAAATTCCGAAATAGATTCAAATTCAAAAGAAAATACATAGGTTACTTTTTTTCTACAACTGTTTACTATTTATTCATCTGGATAGCAGTCTTCACTCCTATTTGTTTCATATTTATTCGTGATTGCCGCCGGTGCGTAACATCAAATTTGTAAGTCTAAATCCGAAACCGTAAAGGTTTCCACGCTCGATGATTTGAAAATTATTTTCTGAAAACGACGGCAGCGGAGAGCGATATAACATATTGATAAGCCATAATAATAACAACAGAATATTGTTATTGGTCTGTCATTGAAAGAAGGACAATTTAGAATATTAAGGATTGTTTTTAAAACGTTTACTCCCCCTCCCTAATCTTCAGAACGGATGAAAGTAGATACACACGTCGACTGGATGAATGTAGGGCCTATGTGATTTTGTACATAAAACAAAACTGTACCCAAAGCACTTGATGATTTTGTACCCTAAAAAACTAAACTAAATCTGTTTGATCATATTTATTTTTTCATGTTTAATGCAAACAATGAGCTGAACATTATGGTAAAACATTTCATCAAGTTCATAATATGACTAACCTAAATGTACGTGGTCCTTGAGTGTAGTCAGTCCACATTGGCACAACCCAAATTGACTGATTGTGATAGGAAAGTAATAAATTCTTGTCACTGGAGAAGAGGCCAGTAAATTGATGAACCATAAGGTAATTGTAGATCTTTTGTTTTGACAGAAAAGTGATAATAAATTAACTTTTTTTCATACAAAAAGCAATGTGTAAGTTTGAAACTACAAAACTGTAATACAAAAATATTCTTGGCACAAAAACACATACCTGTTTGGGTGCAAACACTCAAGACATTTTACGTACAAAAAAACACATTTCAAATGGATTTCGTAGAACAATGGGATAACAAAAAGATATCTAATCAGTTAGAGGGGGGGGTTAGGGATGATAATCAATGATAAAGACTGTCTTAGAAATGTGAATCAATGATAAAGACTGTCTGAGAAATATGAATCAAAGAAAAAGACTGTCTTAGAAATATGAATCAATGATAAAGACTGTCTTAGAAATGTGAATCAAAGAGAAAGACGGTCTTAGAAATCTGATTCAAAGAGAAAGACTGTCTTAGAAATCTGAATCAAAGAGAAAGACTGTCTTAGAAATATGAATCAAAGAAAAAGACTGTCTTAGAAATCTGAATCAATGATAAAGACTGTCTTAGAAATATGAATCAATGATAAAGACAGTCTTAGAAATGTGAATCAAAGAGAAAGACTGTCTTAGAAATATGAATCAATGAGAAAGACTGTCTTAGAAATCTGAATCAAAGAGAAAGACTGTCTTAGAAATCTGAATCAAAGAGAAAGACTGTCTTAGAAATATGAATCAATGATAAAGACAGTCTTAGAAATGTGAATCAAAGAGAAAGACTGTCTTAGAAATGTGAATCAATGATAAAGACTGTCTTAGAAATCTGAATCAAAGAGAAAGACTGTCTTAGAAATCTGAATCAATGATAAAGACAGTCTTAGAAATGTGAATCAAAGAGAAAGACAGTCTTAGAAATGTGAATCAATGATAAAAACTTTCTTAGAAATCTGAATCAATGATAAAGACTGTCTTAGAAATATGAATCAAAGAAAAAGACTGTCTTAGAAATCTGAATCAATGATAAAGACTGTCTTAGAAATGTGAATCAAAGAGAAAGACGGTCTTAGAAATATGAATCAATGATAAAGACAGTCTTAGAAATGTGAATCAAAGAGAAAGACTGTCTTAGAAATCTGAATCAAAGAGAAAGATTGTCTTGGAAATATGAATCAATGATAAAGACGGTCTTAGAAATATGAATCAAAGAGAAAGACTGTCTTAGAAATATGAATCAATGATAAAAACTGCCTCAGAAAAGTGAATCAATGATAAAGACTGCCTTAGAAATGTGAATCATAGAGAAAAACTGACTTAGAAATGTGAATCAATGATAAAGACTGCCTCAGAAAAGTGAATCAATGATAAAGACTGCCTTAGAAAAGTGAATCAATGATAAAGACAGTCTTAGAAATGTGAATCATAGAGAAAAACTGTCTTAGAAATGTGAATCAATGATAAAGACTGTCCAAAATAAATACTAAGATAGAAATTTATTCTCAGAAAGTTCAGTTTCCATTAAATCTGTTTCTAATTTCAGTTGTCCTTTAAAACTCAACGCTGTAGTCTACTTTCATAAACCCTGTTACCATGGTTACGATGACAAGGTTTGAGGCAGCATGTGTTACAAGGACAGGAGTAGTCATAGACCGAGATTTTCACACATCCATTGGAGAAGGGATAGATTAAACAGTTAAAAAGTGGGAGCAACACTAAAACCAGGCACTTTATAAGATTAGTGCCACAAAAAGGACTTGGACATTGTTACACACAAAAACTCAATTAAAAATGACATACACATAAATATTATGTTAAGGACAACGCACAATTGAGTAATGTTGATCTGAAAATATCCCCAAACATGAAAAACTATTTCCAGTTGCTTATTTATCCTTTGTTCATGTTAGTTGTACAGCTCCATTTTCTGTCCTGGAAGCCCTATGGAGAGCTAGCGATTCAGTCACTTTGATCTATAAACCATGAAATTAACGCGAGAGTGAATAAAAAATGACTAAACTTCACATTTATGTCTCCAAAATGACTATCAACAATAAGACGGCCTCACTGCACACCTTGGATAGCGGAAATACCAACTTGAATATAAACACAGACAAATACTGTAAATCTTGTAATTAATATCTGCTGATCCTAAGCCAAAAATGTGACTCAATATTTATGCAATATTAATCCCCCCCACCTCCCCACCAATCCTCAGTGGAATGATGCATATCCTTACCTTAATCCAACCTGACCTTAATCAAATCAAACAACAAATACAACCGCTTAGTAGAGCACTTCCGTAAAAACAATAAATAGAGTTATCCTAAAAGCAACACACAGTTTATATGTTTATTCTGTTGACTACATTAGGGAAGTTCAAAGACAATAGCATAACTGAACTAACAATAGTTGACTGATTGGTCCGCGGGGAAGGACTGTCAACAAACTTGAAGGCAGATGACAAGACAAAGGCTCTAGATCTGTCTAAGGATATGTGTGATGGTTGGTTGTTTTGTTGTTTAAAGCCACACTCAGCAATATTCCAGCTATATGACGGCGGTATGTAAATAATTGAGTCTGGACCAGACAATCCAGTGATTAATATCATGAGCACCGATCCACACAAATGGGACCGATGACATGCATCAACCAAGTCAGCGAGCCTGACCACCCGATACCATTAGTCGCCTCTTACGACAAGCATGGGATGCTGAAGACCTATTCTACCCCGGATCTTCACGGGTTCAAGCCTATCATGGGTCATGTCGGCTTTTGATGAAGTGTTGCATAGGCGGCAGCTGTCTAGGCTGCTGGAGTGGTCAATGTTGCCTAGTTTGACACGAGTGAGTGGAACTCTTGACCCCAGCAGTGATAACTCAAGGATGCCCGTTGTGTAATTTCTATTCTTTGAATGTCATTGTAATATACTTGTTACAACTGCTGCACAATAAACCATGATGCGGAAGCGGACACCCGGTGTTAGCCTAGCCTTAGCTAAGTTACGAGTGAGGCCTTCCTTTCCGTTCCCTGACCAAGACTTACACAGCCTTGGTCACCTGACAGGAAAGGGGTGTGGTACTACATACTGGTATACTACAACTTGAAATGCTAATGAATTTTAGATCACAATACGTTTGGAAAATACCTGTACATTTTGTTTTTCAAAATTATGCGAATATTTAT